GTAGTGCAAAAGTAGTCCAAACACGCTACTAGTCGAATACCCATCCCCAATCTGTTCGCCTGAAAAGAATTCGAGCAGAAACTGAACGAGAGAGAGAAATGGAGCGGGCTTCTCTAGCGTTCACTACAGCCTCATCAGCACCTTCGACTTTCCTTTACCGCAGGTCCACCATTTTCAAACAATCCCACACCAATTCCGGCCTGTTATTGCCTACAAGTACGCCCATTTCAAGCAATATTAGTAGAACAAGAAAAGGCAATTTTTCGGTGAAAGCAGTGAATCAGAGTTCTTCTTCGGGAAATCAGACTTTATCGAGTAGCTGGGATGTCTCAAATTATGCAGCTCCTTCATGGCTACCCAGATTCGAAGAGCTTGACACCACTAATATGCTCCTTAGACAGAGAATTATCTTCTTGGGCACTCAGGTTCGCAACAAGATTTTGATTTTAGATATGGGATTTTTACTTGTTATGCTAATATTTCTTGATTTGGGTTTTCTGTTAATGTTTTAATTTACTTTTATTTTATTGGCTAAATGATGTAGAGATTTCACGAGTTCTAATTGATTCTTGTTTTCCTGTCTTATCCATATGCATATGCTCAGGCAACGAACTTGGGGAAAATGATATTAATCGTGTGTTGAAACTACTAACTTTTAGCAAATTCTTTGTTCGTCATTAAATTTCATTTTGTTTGAACTTTTTTACAATTTGGTCTTTCTTTCCAAGTCTATTTGTTTGAATAATGAAAAAGCTGAAGTGGAATTCTAGATTTTGACTTTTGACGTGGGTTTCTCGTTTCCTTCATGTGGCTGATTGTTTTTAATTTGGGTTTTCTGTTAATATTTTGATTTACTTTTGTTTTCTTGGCCTAATGATGTAGAGATTGAGTTCTAATTGTTTCTAATTTGGGTTTCATTATTCATACACATACCTTCAAGCAATTTTATTGGGGAAAATGCTTTAGTAATAGTACGAAGTTCGAAATTCGCGCAGGTTGTGATGTTTTAGTACAGAGATTGGGTATTGGAGTAGATTGTGAAGTTTTAAGCCGTTTCATAAGGTTTTCATGCCAAATATAAATACATAAACACTCCTTGTAACTATTTATGGACGCATCTAGACTGTTACCTTTTTATTCAGCTCTAGCCAGTGGGATGTGAAATTCGAAGGGATTAATTCTATTATAGAGGAGTTGTTTAGATCTTGACATTTTATTTTCTGGTTAATCAAATGATGATGGACAGATAGATGATGTGACAGCGGATTTCGTCATAACCCAGCTGCTATTGCTTGATTCCGAAGACCAGGAAAAAGATATCAGATTGTTTATTAATTCACCTGGTGGTTCTGTTACCGCTGGTATGTCAATTGTTAGTGCTGTTCAGTTTGGAGGCCACACCAAGTTTTCTTAAAATTCTCCTCACATATTTGGATATACTGGAGTTAAGAAGTAGTGAAAAAAATTATTGTATGTCGCACATAAGATTTAAACTGTTAACCAAGAACACACAACAATTAATCAATTGAACCTGCAAAGGACTACAAAGTGATATTTCCTCTTTACGTTATTGTCTAATTTAATGATGGCTAAAGTGTGTACTTTGTTACTTCTAGTGGTTGATATATAACTATGAGCCCACCTCATTCCTGAAGAGAGAAGAATATACACACAAGCTTATATTCCTCATTATTCTGGAACTCACAAATGAGGATAACCTACTCGTTAATTACAGTCCTATCTTTTTTATCCTTTCTGTATTGTGGGTTATATGCTTGTTGAGACATGCTATCCATATGAATATTATGCTTTCCTCAAAATTTTGTCCTTATGAAGATCTCTAGTATTTGATTAGGTGCCGAAAACATTTGAAAGTCGATCATCTCGACCACCTTTCTCTAGAAGACAAGTTTAACACATGGAAAGAATTAAAGCCAGCATTTCATTTATATATTATTTCATTAAGGGTTTGGACTTGATTAGCTAAGATGCGTACTATGTTTAATTCTTATGTTCTGTGCTTTCAAGCCTATAACTTTAAAGGTGAACATTTTCAATTAGTGAAGTCCATCCTTTGAATTGCTGCTTGTAGGAATGGGCATTTATGATGCCATGAAATTGTGCAAGGCTGATGTTTCTACCATCTGCATGGGCCTTGCTGCATCCATGGGTGCATTCCTCCTTGCAGCTGGTAGTAAAGGGAAAAGGTATTGCATGCCAAATTCGAGGGTCATGATCCATCAACCTCTTGGAACTGCTGGGGGCAAAGTAAGTACTTCTTCTTTTTCTTTTTATTCTTTTTTTTCCCTCTACATTGGTGGCTTTAATGGGTTTCTATTCTCATTATTTCTTGCTTATAGTATTCCAGGAATGTGAACTGACCTTTTCTACATGATGTAATGGTAGACTGGAATCATTGAGAACTTTCATGATTTCAAACTTGATGATATCCTTTCCCCCATCTCTACTCTCTCTATTTATACCCACTTACAAGCATATCATTTGATGTTTTGAAAGTTCTATGTTTCTCCCACTTTTTTATCAAACAGCGGATCTCAGGTCTGGCTACTGTACCAATAGTCAAGAACCTTTTTGTAATAACCCATTCTAAGACTAGATAATTGTCTATTTGCATAGGTCTGATGAAGAAAAAAGTGCTTTTACATTGCCTTGACTTAAACTAGAACCTATTTTAGCGAAATCAGGCTAACTAACTGAAAACTTATACATAAATGTGCTGAGGATAATCAAGCCACAATCATATCGATTACTAAACCCCATTTGGCTCTTCCCTGACACTAACTACCATCATATCGATTACTATACCCCGTTTGGTTCTTCCCTGACACTAACCTACTAAGCCAATAGAAAATTGGATAGTGTAATATTGGTCCTAGCACGAAAACTGAAACTAAACTACACCATAATTCTAGCAAGCACAGAAATTTCAATACTACCTTGCGCGCCAAAGAGATAAACTTATAGTGCGAACAACGTATGTAAAATAATCTGGAATGATGGAATATACTCCCATAACCACCAAGTGCATAGTGCATACTAGATCGGACTGGATAGAGTATCATGAACAAGATTTAATTTCTATTTCTTTCTTAGTGTTCTCCAATGCATCCAATTCTATTTATCAAACATGCTATAAGAGTATTTTATTTTCATATTAAAGGAGCAGCTACATTTTACAAGGTGACGAGCACCGTTTAGGTTCCCCAAGCCTATAACTCCTATTTACATGATCAATTTCTACCACAAAAGTTTTCCTTCATAGGTGTAGTCCTTGATTTTTGAAATTTTGCCCATGAGCATTATTGCAATCTGTTTTTGAGGCTTTAAACACTTTTTTCTCTTTCGATAAAATACTGACTACACTAATGAAATGAAGATCCATCAAATGGTTTTTAATTTAGCATACCAACTCCCCAAAGATGAATTTCGTAGGGGGATATTGCTATGTGAATGTTAGTATTTTCTACATACAAATTCTCAAATGATATAATTTGTTTATAGGCGACAGAGATGAGCATACGCATCAGAGAGATGGCATACCACAAAGTTAAGCTCAACAAAATACTATCTCGAATCACAGGGAAGCCTGAAGAGAAGGTATAGTTTATCCAAATCCAAAACCCAACCTCAATTTTGTTTTTCAATTTCGGCCATTCAATGTATTACCCTTTGGGGAAGTTATTGGCAAATTCTTGAATTTCTATGACTGTTTGTTTGCTATTTGTTATTGCATTGCAGATTGAAGTAGATACTGATCGTGATAATTTTATGAATGCTTGGGAAGCAAAAGAGTATGGATTAGTTGATGCTGTTATCGATGATGGCAAACCCGGACTAGTTGCACCCATTGCAGACGCATCACCACCACCTAAAACCCGTGTGTGGGATCTTTGGAAAATAGAAGGCAGCAAGAAAGCCAGGAAGAATTTGCCCTCAGAGGAAAGGATTTTGGAAAGTGAAAATGCCAGTGGGAAAAGAACGGATGACAACAGAGGCACGGAAAAGGAAGAGGAAGCACCAGCGCCTATCTGAGGCACGTGGCAGATATTTCTTGTACACGCTGTAACATTGAGTAGCTTAGCAATTCTTTTCCTTTGTGTAGTTGAGCAATATCTGAATATAAAGAAACTATCATTTTCAAAATGGTGACAAAATGGTGACTGGTTTTTGCTTTTTCCCTTCTCTGAGTTTTATTAATGGGAAGATCTATAATTCTTCTGAACAAAATGAATAATCTGATATTTCTATCTTCTGTTATATGTTAGTTTTTCTTATTGCATATCCATGATGCTTGTGGATAAGGAGTCTATAACGAGTCTGTCCACTCTTGATCACAAGCCTATCAAATGCTGTACATAGTACTGAATAGGATTGAACAACATAATTAATAAAACTTTTAACTTCTTTATATTCTTTTATATTGTTCATCCATGTCTAGTACGGCGCACTAGACATGGATGAATTGTACGGTTTTGTCCTCGTGTTAAAGGGTCGTGCCACTTTGCAAGCAACACATAATAATATTGACCAAGTGCCACTTTGCAAGCAAACCATAAATAATATTGGCCAAGTTTAATAGACGCAAGAACGCTTAAATCATACACAGAATGATATGGCGAACATATCTTGTTATCTTCAAAATGACTGATATTTAACATCGAATCAGTATCAAAAGTGTGCTGATACAAAAGTCTTAACATAGTTACAAAAATAAAATCGCTTCACAAATCCATTTCCCCTTTTGGAACCATAGATATATCTTAATTGCATAAATTTTACGTCAGAACTAGGAAAAACTATTGCAGAGCAATCTAGCAAGGATTATCATCTTCAAGCTTAGGCAGAAATTATTAAAATTGTGTCAGCGACGGATCGACCATGAAAAACTTGAAATAAATTTAACAGTGGATGATAATCCATATAGTGAATCCACGATGGTGAGGTGTCTGATCCGAGGTGGCCAGAACAATTTACGATTTTCAGATGGAGTTGATAGAATCACCATCACTGCTTTCACCATCAGTACTGCTACTTCCACTTCCACTCCCGCTTCCACTGCCACTCCCGGTACCACTGCTCTCGGTACCACTGCTACTAGAGCTTGATGTTTGGTCTTCTCCTTCTGCATTGACCTGCGCTCTAAGGGCTTCTGCAGCATTTCGGCCACCCTTATCAGCTTCATCATCACTTGCATCAACATCGGCGATCTCATCATCTGTATCAGTTTGATGAGGTATGTTTATATCAATACCGGTGCCGAATTCTTTGACATCCATACCGGTGTCGAATTCTTTGACATCGACACCGGTGTCGAATTCTTTGACATCAAACTTTCCTCCATTAGCTCCTGCTCCAACGTTGTCATCATCATCATCATTCAATATATCCAATTGCTCCTCGAGGTCGTCATTCTTAAGGTCTGGTGATGGATTTGAAGGGTTTTCTTCCACTGGTGGATAATCATGGGCCTTCCCATTTCTAGGTTTAGCATCTGATGAAGACGAGAAAAAAAGTTAAGTATAATAATGTATTACTCCAATTTCAAAACTAGTTTTTTCAAATACTGCCCAAGGCAAAATAAAATAAAATTCTCAAAGGTACCGAAGTGCAATGACCCAAAAGAAATTACTTCAACAGATTTCCACATGATCAAACCCTATCCATACTGTTCTTCATAGCAATAAAAATTTATCATACTCCTATTTTAATAGATTCTGTTCTTTAGAGCAATATATATGAATCCAACTCTTTATAAATGAATGATATGCTTTGAAATTAACATCTCCACCTAGAGTATAGGATCATTTCAAGTACCAGAAGCAACAACATGGATAGAATTGGAGAAGTTATTAATAAAATTCTAGCAAAATTCTCATTACTAGAGAATAGGATTACTCCCCAGCACCATGGGCAAAAGTTCTTATAGAGTGAAGTCATCCACTCATCTTTTAGACATTCTTACATTACACAAGTTAACGCAAAAAGTAAAGGCAACAACAACAAAGCCAGATAAGGAAAAAATTATTTGTAGCTGAAGAAGAGCTTAAAACTGCATTTGAAAGTGCTAGGTTCTATACCAATGACTAGTCGTGGTTGTGGACAAATTATAAAATAATTTTGATGGCACGTCAATCTCTATATCAAAAACATGGCATCTGCAAGTGCCTTTATTTTCCTTATTGTTAATAAATATCATTGCAGTGAAATTTGTAAAATGAACTACACTGAGTGATGTCATGTAATCTCAAAGAATAAACCCAATTAAATATGGGATTTTATTTTGATCAAGGAGGGAAGGTAAAAGTCCAAATGCAATGTATACATTAAATATTCTAAATTAAGCAGGGCATGCCTGAGCTTTTGAAATCCCCAATTTCAATTCGTTCAACTTCCCCCTGCACAATTACACAAAACAAAAGTTGAATATGTAAGTATGATAGTCAAAAGCAGCCAATACTTGCAAAGAGAATGCTAACTATATAATCTGAAGAGAATTCTTTTCAATTTTGTTCTTGTTGGGAGAAAAAGAAAACATGCATGCACAATGAATCCGAAAGGCAAAGATGACCTGTTGAGATCAAGATTGTTAAAAGTGCCCCTCTTCAGCAACAAAGACATCAAAAGCAAGAAGAGTTCTGTCAAATCAAATCATCTTTGTGCACATGCAATACACAATGATACTTTATTTATTTTTTCAAAAATTAACTTCTAAGTTCAAAATAGGATTCCAGATTTTTATAAACTATTAAACCAAACATTAGCCCTTAAAAACTAGTTCTAGAAAAAGAACTTACCGGCATCACATGAATTGCCTCTTTGTTCGAAGGTTGATACTTAGTCACTTTCCCAACTGGTGGTGAACTTGCATCAGAAGGTCCAGCTGATGCAGCCACTGTTGATATAGATTCACCCTTCATTCGATTATGCCTCAACCGCTTTACAGCACGGTGTAATCTCTCTAACCGAAAAGACTCGCCGTCAAAGAAAAGAACAGCATCATTTTCCTTGTAATCCTCACTAATGCCCTCAAATGTCACCTTGGGTTTCCCTGGTTGATTGTTTTGGAACTCAACAGTAACCTTATTATCCTTACTTTTGTGCAATGTGCCACGCTGGTTCTTATCAATTGAAGCTGGCTTAAATTCATCTGAAAAAACCATAAATTTTGTGAGTGACATTTATTTTCTGCTATTAACATACAATCCAGAACTTAAGAAAGGCGAAATAAAAGAGGAATAGAAAACCCAAAGCAATTCTCCAAGTGCTTGGTTCTCATGGAGAATTCAATTCGAAACAAGTCTCCGAATGAACAAAAGAAGCACGTTCAGGAATGAATATTATGGAGATTTAGAGACAAAAGAACTCATTTTCTATCAAGATAATATGCCATTATGAATGAAACACTTGTGATTGGACATTTGTGGTGCTTCATTTTTCCACTCATTCATCTCGAAAACCATTTGTCTGTTGATTTACAAAATCTATCTCTGTTTCACACTCACGTTCTGCTCATCCATTGAATCCTTTCATTATGAGGTTGAAGCTATTCATAAACTAATAAAAAAACCATAGATTATGAAAAGAAAAAACTGAAACAGCATGCTTCCTTTGCATTGGAATCCTTATTTTATGGTAATAAAACCAGCAAAAGTTAAGGGTGGCAAAAACAAGAAAGCCATCGGGCAGTCAACAGTCCTTGTTCAATTCAATAATGCATTCTCCATCAAACAACAGGAAGAAAAAAGCACTGCAACACTAATTTGCCTTCTCCCTTCAATTCTTTTCGTCAATCAAACATGGCCCGTGAAACAAAAAACAACATGAAATTTCATCATAAAGATGGAAAAAAAAAAAAAAGTGCCTGCGCTTAATCACTACAATTCATTCAATTTTCACAAAATGCAACCTAATTCAGTTACTGGAATTAATCCAAAATGTAATGTACTCTACCACAAATTGCATATGAATCCAAGTACATGTATAAGTATATACGAGAGAGGAAGGAGAATGGATTGGCATACAGCGTAAAGTACAGAACTTGGAGGGATGTTCATCCTTGAATGAGGAGCCTAGGGTTAGATTGTACCACCGATCGGGTTTTGGGGCTGTATTGGGCTCCTTCGAGTTGATTCCTGCCATTTTTGGTTATAATTTTCTGAAATCTGCAAACCTAGGATTTCGAATTAGGGGTAGCGTTTCGGTTATTTTGGATGCGTTGAGGAAGAGCAGATAGTAATTTTTCAACTCGATCCATTCCAAACATGTATGTCACGATTCCTTCCACAAGGTATAAATATCTAATTTTTAATTTAAATTAAAAATAATAATTAATTTTAATAATATATTTTAGAAATACACGTCTTTTCAACTATATATTTAATCAAATTTCACTAAAAATCTTATTTTAATCACCACCAAATAGAAACTTGGTAGATGATTGGTCATTTAATTTATAACTGTATTTCAATTTGATCACTCGACTTCGGTTCTATAGATTGATTTGTTCCAAAATAGTCGCTGAACTTTTAAGTTTTGAACACTTGTGTTCATTTTAAAAATTAATATTAAATTTGTTGCCTTACGACCATATATTTTGGCACGTCTAATAGATGACTTAACCTGTGAGAGCATACTTGAAATGGAAATGGACGCCAACAGATTAGGATATAGTGGATTTCGAGCTTGATTATGAATGGTATAGGGTAGATCGCATTACCGTCATGAGCTATGACTTTTAAGTAAGCAGTAACAGTGTTTTACATCAATTGATATCAGAGCTAAAGGCCACGTATATGAATTGATACTAGGGTATTATTGTGTGATATGTGGATAATGAAGAAGCATGCTTAAACATTGATATGCTTGAAAAACTAGACCGTGTGGATTGTATTTGTGTATGAGATGTAGATTTTGGATAAAAATGGTGTCAATAACCTACTTGACGACTCCTTTTAACACCTTCTTGGATTGGTGTTATCATGCTAATTTCAGGTAATGATTCTCGTGTCATGGGGAGGCTAATATTGTGACCAATTAGAAACATATTTTATAGCTGGATGACTAATGTAGTATAAATTCAGTGATCGTTCGACTTTTTACCAATTTGGTAATTGTCTTTAAATTTATATCATTAGTGCCTATAGATATTTTATAAACGATAATATCGTTTTATAAATGAAAAATATTATAGACTTGTTTCAATATTAATGAGCAAAATATGCACGAGGCTTCTCCAAGTAGGTTTATTATTATTGTTGTTGTTGTTGTCGTCGTCGTCGTTGTTGTTTGCCTTCTTGATTAAAAATTTTCATCACTTTTATTTTATTTTCTTACTAAAAGTTAATTTTTACAAAAAAAATAAATTTGGGGATGTTATAAGAAAAAAGATTATTTTTCCTTAGCCCCTATTTGGTTTAATTAAAAATTACATTTCGAATAGATTTTGATACAAATGATAAGTTGTGTGGTTATAAAATATAGGATATCTATATTTTTTCTTGTCCTATATATGCGTAAATCTTGTCTTAGAGATTAGTTAAAATGCATATGATAGGAACCTTTGCAGACATTATTTATGCCACTATTCTTTCGTGTAATCCACATTTGCATTGAAATGTTCTTAGGTGTGTAAGAGGTGGTAATATAACTTTTAAATATCCTTTCGCGATCAAAATATATTTGGGTGAGGAGATCAATGCCTAGTCCAAATGGTAAGAATGAAATTTGAATTTTTTTATCATTTGTATCCTCATTCTTTTTTTTTTTTTTTTTATCAACGCTCTCCCCTCCAACCTTCCATTTTTTCTCTCATATTGTCCTTTTCTCTCATATCATCCTTCCTAACGATTTTCATTGTTAAGGTCATGTAAGGGTAAAGGATAATTCTATTGTTTAACTTAAAATAAACCAAAAATGAAAAAAAGAAAACAATAACAAACATAAAAAAACCAAAAAAGAAAAAGAAAAGAGAAACATAGTGAAAAAGTTTTCTTCTTCCTCAAATCCCAACCCCACCACCACTTCCGACACCACCACCACACCATTAGACATCAGCAGCCACAACATCCCCTACCCTAGAATTACCATCCAAACCTCCATCCAAGGTTCTAAAAAAGCACGTCTAAATGAGAAGCAAAAATAAAACGCTGCTATGAAAGTAAGTGTGAATTAAGCGATCAATTGCTAAGTTGACTGGTTAATGTGTGCCTAGTCACGTTTTATCAAAACAATGGTGGTTAATCTGTTAGGACTGCCAAAACAAGGAAATAAATTTGGTTGTGCATATTAATGACCATGATTGGAAATATCAAAAGATTATGAAAAAAATATGATAGGATAAATAGTTGTATAAAAATTGTGAGATAGATATATAAAAATAGTGTGGATGTACATATATATAAAAACGTTGTGATATATCTTTCTATATAAAAAATGCCTATCTAACGGAATTTGTTGGTTTAACAGACAGAATTTGTTGGTTTAACGGAAAAACTAACGGAAACGGAATTTTCGTTTAACGGACGAAATTTGTTGGTTTAATTGAAAAACTAGCGGAATTGATTATTTTAACAGAGATTCTTTTTCCACTGTTAATTTTCCTAATATATTTTTATAATAAAAATTATTAACTATCCAACTTCCAACCCATTTGGCGGCTGAGGAAGCTCATGAGACCTTTCTTTAAAAGGCCCATTTATTTATATGCATATATTCTTGTGCTTTATCAATTAGATTTCGATGTGGGATCAGCAAGCCTGGCCACCGTCGTTTATTTCAGTTTTCCCCCTTCCTCCACCAGCCTGGCCACCGTTATGCCCCCGTTTCAAATGAGTTCACAGACAAGAAATTACATAAGTCCTTTCTTTAAAAGGCCCTCTAAAGCTCATAGGCTCGAGGCCCGACAACATTGATAGGACAATCGCCGGTGGTTTATCGATTCCCGACAAGTTGGAGGCCTTAAAGAACCTTATTCCATCAGAAAGTGGGGAGATGAAGCCGGAGCAGTTGTACTTCTCAATACCCAAGTTCTTGTTTTGCAGAAATTGATTGATTTTTATGGGTCTCAACCTCAAAAAAACCAAAATGAAAATCCCAGAAATTGATTGATGGGTTATGTATCGATCCGTCGCCCAAATTCGTGCGAAAAAGATGCCAATATTTTCCCAGTTTATTTCCAATGAGAAATTCCAAACCACATGGATGCTGTTGGATGTGTATTAATCAAACCCTACCCTCACATCATTTTTCATCCCCATTTCGTCTCTCCCGACTAAACAGTGAAGTGAACCTCTGTCGCGTCGCGCCTGCACACCACTCTCTCCCTTGACCCCATCCTCTCTCCCACACCACACATCATCAGACCGCAGTACCGCACACGGCCACACCCACTCACGGTACCAGTCTCCCTATCTCTGTCTCTTCCGCAGCTTGCAACCACGTTTCGCCGTTCCAAGTTCCAACTCTCACTCCTCTGTAACAGATGCAAACATCAGCGCCTTCTCGTCGATTACAAAACCCATGCAGATTCCAATTGGCTCCCCCGAATCGGCGATTGGATCTGCACCGGTAAGTATGATATATGATATATGGGTTTTTTGTTAACTTTATGGTATATTAATTTGGATTTGATTCAATAATTGATTCACTAGAAGACCTAGATGGGATTGTGTTACATATGATTATCAATGGATCGTGGAATTCTACTCATGTCAATACTTTCCAGTGATAAATGGAACTATAATGTCATTTTTGCTTTTGAAAATTGCTTAGGTATAATGACTTGCCTTTTTATGTTGCATTATATGTCGGAATTTGTCATGAACTGAATTTCAATTTGTAACCTCAAGTTTCCAACATATCAACTGTGGAGTTCTCTGAGCTGAATGAGCTGAAATTGTAACCAAATTAAAGGAAAATAGAATGGGGAAGGGGGTAAATGAGAAAATCAATAAGAAAGGGGAGGGTAAAATGACAAACAAAGAGAATTGAAAGAAAATGAATTCTGAAATCACTCCACTATATTCACTGCTGAGAAATTACAGATTGAATAAGAAGAACGAATTTGAAGATAAAGAGAAAAGGAGGAGGGGGGAGGAGAATTTCACCTCTCCATGTGCTTAATTCATAGAGAAGGAGAGAATATTCTCGAATGTGTTTGTAATGTGGTTGAGTAGCTCGAAAATTTAGTGCTTTTTTTAGTAACCTAAAATTTTATACTATTGATGTTGAATCTCTTTCTAGGTTTCAAGAGAGCATAAAAATTAGTCAATTAGTATGTTGGCCTTTCTACTCTTACTTTATTGTTATGGTCTTGCTTAGGGTTTATGTTTGTATTTTTCTTTATGGATTGCTCACAGGAATGATACAGAAGATAAAATATGGCTGAAGAAGGGAGAGTGCATCCTGATTGCCGAAATGCATCGAACCCGTATCACGAATGTAGTGAATACTGCTTCAAGATTATTGCTGAAACAAAGAAGAAGATGAACAAAAATGACACGGGTTGGTTTCTTATTTATATTATCCTTGCTTCTTTTGTTTGACATAGTCCTGTATTGATTGTGGTAGTTGAAAATTTGGATCTTGTAACTAATTATATCAATTATAATGATATCATTTATGTTGACGCCACCAATTTCTACAATTACCTGAAACACTGGCACATTAATCGGCTGTGGAATTTTTAATAGCCAACATTTTTCTTCCATCTTCTTCATATTTTCCCTTGCGGCAAGCAGGAGAGGGAAAGAAAGTGGTGTGAAATTCACCTAAAAACTTCAAACCTTATGGCTGGACATGTTGCAACCGGAGCAAAATTAGATGATGTGGACCAATAAATAGTTGTTAGTTACTTAATTCTTGGATCTCTGTTCCAAGAAGATAATTCATACAGAGATTTGGGATGCATTTTATTTATTGTGAAGTACCTAATATTTTTCCCTACCTTGTGCCAAGAATGCAAGTTGTTAGTGACAGTGGTGAGGCCAATGCAGTTGCCATTGTGAATCAGGAGGAAAATCATGAAAGAGATGGCAAGGGAGGTGATTCTGAGGTAGCGGCTGGTACGACGGTGAAGATGACACAGGAAAAGACCTCAAAAATCTTACAAGAAGGCAAAATAGGTTATTTGAGTTGAGATTGAAAATGGTAAGGGCATATCAGCATTAGTAATTAGAAATAGGATGTCCTTGTTGTGTGGAAAGCATAGATACACATCTAACTTATGCTCTTGGTCCTTATCTAATAATAGCTTCGTGATTTTATGGGTAATACATCATGGCTTGTGAATTCATACATGCAGAATGAGGCAAGAAAAGCCAATCAGACTACCATGGTTGCCGAGGAGAAAATAATGGAACCTCCTGAAGAGTCTATAGGAATTTCTAAGCAAAAATGGCTTGAGGAGAGGAAGAAGATAATTGGTAGACTTTTTGATGCCAATGGTTTGAATATGAGCAAAGCATATATGCTGGACACGCAAGACATGGCAAAGTCAAAGTATAAAAAATGGGAGAAGGAGCCTACTCCTGCTGATTGGGATGGTATGAACTATTATTGCTTCATTGTTGTAATGTTTCTTACTTGTGTAAGAAGTTCTTATTAATAGCTATGTGCATGGCCACGCCAAAATTATTCGAAATTTGCATTAACCCATTGCTGATATATAATTATACCTTAATTTGTACTGGACTTGTTATTCGTAGCTATTGGATAAATGTTTTAAAATTATATGAAAATGTGCAATACGCCATACTGCAACTGAACTTAATGAGGTCATCAAATGGTTTCACAATTGCTAATATCTTATTTTGGGATAAATGGATGGCATCGATGTATTCGTAATATGACTTTGAATATTAATGTCCTTCGAAATCACCTGGGGAATCATTCTATCATGAAATTCTTCTATTAGTAGTGAATTGCAGCTGGATGTGAATATCTCACACTTTGTGTGTGCATCACATTTTATTGACACAACTTAGGTCGGATAACTTGTATGTACAATAATCATTGAATGTTACCTGAAAGTTCCTATACAAAAGCTGGTGATGGGAATCCTAGAAGATGTATTATATGGAATACTTTCTAAATTGGATACTATTTTAGTAAACATAAATTAGGATTTTATTTAATAGCTTCTTTAGAATTTTATGAGTTGTTTCTAATCTAAATCTAATAGATTCTGTAGTATTTTATTATTTGTTTCTTACCTAGATTAGATTAGTTTAAACCCTATATAAAGGTTGCTTATGCATTGTAATAGTTACATTCTATTGAATGCCTAATGAAGTCGTTGCGTTTTGTCAATATCTCCGTTGATTTCGATGGTCCTTGAGAATTGATTGGTTTAGTTATCTCATTCTTTGCTTAATTCCAGTGTGGTGACAAGCTTGGTCTAAGTTTAGAATTGATTGGTTGAGTTACATAAAGTTCTCAATGAAGTCAATTAGATTTCAGGTGGTTTCAATTTTGTTTATTTAATTAACCAAAAAAATTACATCTTCATTAATAACAAAATTAATTCTTAAACAAAACTATTAAATATAAACTAAGCAGACGTGCATTGCATGTTGCTTACACCTAGTATATATATATACATATATGAAAAGAGTATTTTTTTTTAATGAGGATAAATATAGGATGAGATAAATAGGTCAATGTAAATAGCAGTGTTCCTAGGCACCGCCTCAAAACGAAACGGGAGCAAAACGTCTCGCTTTGCGCTTTTTCAATTTTTTTTTTCACTCCTACTAGGCGTGCCTAGTGTATGCCTTTTTTTTTAATGTCTTTCAACGTTTTTTTTTTTCCTTTAATTATTAAATAATTTTTAGATTGTTTAAAAATTTAAAACGATACTAAAATAGGAAAACGTTTTTTACGATTTTTGACGTCTGGGCTTCACTTAAGCTTGGCCCTTACATTTCGTCACGTTTTATGCTTTTTAGATAAATAGTAAATAGCAGTTACTTATTTCTTTTTAAATTAAAATTTACTATGTTTCAGGGTTTTTGTTGTGCGCTAGTTAATTCCTGCATTCATTCACTGCAGTGCGTGGTCTTTACGGCCAGTCTATCCCAAATTTCTTCCCCAATTCTTTGGAAGCAATCCCTAATTTTTTTTACACAGCAAAATGTCAATTGGAACACATTTGAATTCATTAATATATATTTCACACTTATCTCTCAGTCATCAAAAGCCAAGAAAAAATCTTCAAAATCATCACTTGTACTGTCCGACGCCGAGCCCGAGACTGGTAAAAAACCGTGCAACAAATTTATCAATTCAATGCTCAGAAAAACAAGGCCCAATATTCAGAACTTGTAAGAATTGCAAGACGCAGTTCGATCCTGTTCTCAATCACCCCCGAGCTTGCCGTTATCACACAGCTCATTTTGGTGGTATGCATTTTTAGTTTACGTTCATTAATCTTAGTATCGGTGTCGTTTTTTGTTTTGTTCGAAATATATGTTTGGCTAAGCCTAAAAAAGTTTGCTTCTATGTTTATTTATAAGTAAATAAGTAAGTTTTAAAATAAGGAACTTTTTTATAGTTTAAAGTAAGGAAAAAAAAGAAATTTATACAAGCATGTTTGGAAACACAGTTTTAATCTTAGCCAAGCTTGCTCTGACTATCAAGTGTTCTGCTATGGCTAAATTTAACTATTATCTGTTCCTGTTCCATTACTTCACTTTGTTCATAAATCATACTTGAGTGTGCTTTGTCCTGCTGTCTCTATAAATATTTTTTTCCCCATTTTTTGGTTCAAACTGCTGGGTCCCTAATTTATTACTCAGAATTCAAGCTGAGGTCAGAAATTTTCCAATGTCTTTATCTGCATAACTCTCGAGTCTCGAATGAAACACAGCGGAATATATTTTGACCTATGAACTTAGCATTACTTGTTAACTAGATTGTTGTCCCTTTTTCTGTTTATTTGTTTGTTTCATTCTATCACGTGGAGTTCCTTTGATGCCCCCCGTTAACCAAAAAGAAACTGATATCGGTAGCAATCTCGTGATTTAACTTTGAAGAATTGAATGGTGGCGGATTAATCATAAAGTTGAGCTCGGAAGGAAAACAATACTCTGTACTTTGTATAGTGCTATCAAGTGAAGTAGAAAAGGAAGTTTTCCAATCACTAACTCAAACCCATTGTCAAATCATACTTGGTAGAATATGGAGGTACTTGTGGCAAAATGAGCCAATTTGGTATTTCACAATAAAGTGATAGATGGAACTACCAAAATGACTTATTAGTAGATTAATAGATCACTTCGAAATGGCATATACATCACACATGCTAGATCAAGTATAGACTTTGGGTTCCCACCAGGCTATTGTTACATCCATTCATTTGGAATTAATTATCTTTTAACACTACCTTCTAAGTGATGGCTAGTTCAAGATGCTGAACAACAAAGTTTGATTTTGGAAAAAACACCATCATTATGGCCGGGTATGTAAATCCAGTAGAAAAATTATGCCAATCCATTGAAATGGTCCATTCAATGGGAAAAAATCCATGTTCAAGTTTTATTACTGAGTGTTAGCTACTTTCTGAAAAAGGTTTGATTATGGGAAGGAAACAGAAGTCACAAGGTAAGGGACCGCATTCCCTTTATGCTTCCCAACTTGCAAATGAATTAAACCAGTTTTCCCCCGACCAGCATAAATAATGGTTATTGCTATTACCCACTGTTTTACATCTCTGTACAAGCTCCCTGGAGCCTACCTAAGAAAGCATTCTCTTTTGATGAACAATAGCTAACTAAAAGAGGAACCGCACAACGAAATTATGCTTGTATAGCATCAAAATAATTTGTTGGGAGGGACATGAGAAATCTACTTAGTACCTTCGCTTTGTCATTGAAGTGTGGAAATGTGAGAAAATCATAACATGTACCTTTTTATTAGTTCAACTGCTTTCTGAACTCTATGTAAGAGCTTTAGAGAAGAAGACCTGGAGAACTGGCGGATGTTGATATTCTAATGCTGCAGTCTCGATTAGTTTGCTTGCAAGATGACATTGTTCAGACAGCTATGAATTAACATGTAGTTGGACAGAAGAAGCATCGGAGCTCCAGAAAATTATTTTGTGAAGTTGCATATGGATCTGCAATGAAACACAAGTTGGAAAATTTCTCTTGTACTGTAAGTTGTGCCTTCCAACAGTTGAAGATTCTGAAGTTAACAGGAGACTTAGAGAGTTTGAGTTGGAATCGGGTATAGTTGGAAGAAAAAATTCGATAACTTTGCCAATAATCACTTATGATATACGAAAACCCTGCTCCCCCCCCCCCCACACCAAGTGGATGTGATTTTCCGAGTTGTGAAACTAGACGCCAACTGTTTTGCTCCTTTCTGGGTTGGGAATCTGCAAAATATCCTGTGTAGCACGAAAACATACTACAAAACCTTGTAATTACCTTCATCCTTTTAACATGGTCTAAAGTTGTTAGTTTTGTGTAAAATAACCATTTCACCCTCGAAGAAATAACATCATGAAATGTCAAGAAAACAATAGTAGTACTACAGAAAAACAAGTAATACACTTGGAGCTAGTTTATGGGGGATAGAGAGTCTATTGGGAGTTAAAAGGCTATGAGAGCGTGACTTACATGTTCATGATCCATAGCCAGTAATCTGCATGATCGTTTGCAAAGTGAAAGGGAGTATTTGAAATAATTCTCTTTCGTTCTTATCAATATTACAGGGCAGTAATAGAGAATTATAAAGGGGTTTTTTGAGTTTTTACTCTTTTATATGTTGCTCCCTATGTTAAATGGATTCTAGTAGTAGATACAGGTTTTGTACTGTCAGAGGTGATTATCTACTATTATATTGAAGGATCCACCTCATACCCTTATTTTAACATAAGTTGTTTCATATCATTCATTCTTGTTTGACCATGCAAGGATATTGTTCCTGATATTTTTGCTATTCGTGTTTTCCTCCATTTCACCTTTTCAGGAGAAACAAAGAGAAAGTTTGAGAGTGTATTCTCCGGAGGCACTATGGACACCCCCGACTCTGGCAAAGTTTTTCAGTACTGGCATTGCTGTGGGTCTGAAGATCCCTTTGACCCTGGATGCACTTCTGCACCTCATGCTTCCTATGACGACTGATGGATTGAAGATTCCACACGTCTCTAAGATATATTGTGAGTTCTAATCGACCGGTTAAGATTCTTTTTCTGTCACTCAAAACTGAGTTTGGGATTTCTTATTTTCTTATTTCCATTGCCTGTGATCCTGAAAAATGTAAAGCATGTACCTATCTTATTATTAATAAATGACAAAATTCATATTGGTAAATTTTTTGCTCCTTTACTTTCACTTCCTTTGATAAGCAAAGGTAGAAAGGAATTGTAATCTCGTGTTAGTTGGAAAATAAAAACTCACCAAACCCATAGAAATTCGTTTCCATAAAAACAAAGAAAATGCAGTTTAAAATTGTTGTACCTTGGAATTCGATTTCAATTTCCACGTTGCAATCAAACGGTCAAAGTGTAATTCGTTTTCCTCGAATGTGACATTTTTCATGGAATTCGTTGCAATCAAACATGACCTTTATGTATTCTAAATATGCAAAATAGAAAATAACGTCGAATGTATGAAAATCAAGATAGCGATAAACTTCTTTTATCTTTTTCCTAAATATTTCTCTATGGCTTGAGGAAGGACAAATTCATATTCGAAATATCTGGTGGTTTTATGGCTTATCTCAATCAATCACATTAGGTGGAATGACGTCGTTTGAAGACTTGCCATTCCACTGTGACACCCATTTCTGTGTTCCATGTCCCACCATTGCCATTTTAGGGATGGTGTGTTAACTTCTAAAACTCCGTGCCAGTAGGATAATATTCCTCAAGAATGGGAAGATAATATTCCCTTTTACTTGTGATTGACTCTCCAATATTTGGTTCGAAAAGTCTCAAAAGTTAAGAAGAAAAGAAGGCTCTAATAAAAATTGTATATTCATTTCTTACAAACATTTCGTCCCCGAATCGAAATTTAGACAACCCTCGATGAAAAACTCTTGATGCTCACTTTAAACTTAAATTAAAGTTGCATTTTGTTACTTCGAGAGAGATTCTAATCCCGTAAGTACGAATATTTTAACCTACGAGAGAGTTAGATGAATCAAAAATTTCGAAGTAAACCAATTTTCAAGATCAGGGCGGTCAACTATTGTTGTTCGCAATCGATATTGCCAGCATCAATATTGTCACTAGAGCTGGTGGAATCATATTGAGTACTTGATTATATCTTAAAAATATTCTGGATGTTAGTTACATTTTTTTTCTGGATGATTTTAGAATCCCAAAAAATACGTGAATACACGCCAATGAATATTTGCTTCTTGTTTTAACAATTAGCATGCTTCAAGCAAATTCCTTGCTCCACCACGAGGTTATCCATTTTTTTCCTTAGCACCTATGCAAAAGTTCCTTCAAAGCAACTTCTAATAAAAGTTGATCATAATTATACTTCACTCATTCTAACCCATTCTTCTTGAAGAATATTATTAACAGCCCATTACACAAATGCAAAGCCACGTGTTACATGCTTACGTTTGCCACATGTCACAACACACTTCTTTGTGTCCAAGAAACAAATTCAACACTCAACTCCTAAGTATTTTGCATGCCTAACCTCTCTCTCTCTCTCTCTCTCCCTCTCCCTCTCCCTCTCTATCTATATATGTATCCCTCTATGTTAAATTCTAATAATTCCCAGTCTGGCCCAGCTTTTTTTGCATTATAATCACCTACTTTCTTCAACAATGGAGGCCAGTTTGTTGTGTTCTCCTAGATTACCCCATAGGCCATTTCTAAAGAAACCATCTTACATCCTAAGACATGGGATCATTACAAAAGTTGTTAACACAAAAAAGGATGATAATGAGGGAAAACCATCATCTGTTGATGAAAATATGTCTGTTCTAAGACTGCACATCAAGAAAATGAAGTTGTTAGAGAGCAGTAGAACTAGCCAAAAGCCTTCTTCTGATTGGATGGAATGGGAGAAGAAGATCTTTACTCGTTACCAAGAGGACGTTTGTGATGCCGTGGCATTGTTGCAAACGTATTTGATGAATACAAGGCCGAGCGTGGCGTTGGGAGTGATCGCGTTAGTCGCGATGAGCGTGCCGTTATCGAGTTCAGCCGCCATGGTTAATGTCTTGAAGATAGCAAAAGGATTGTTGGAAGGGTGTCATGTATGTATTGATATTGAGTTTTAGCTTATTATTGATTTTTAGCTTATTTATGTGTGTGTGTGTGTGTGTGTGTGTGTGTATTTTGGTTTAAACTAAGGATAAATCATAAGCTATGGCTGCTTAAATAAGTAATGATTAGACCATATAAGTACTTATGGATTGTTCTGTTTTCTTTTTTCCTTTTTTCCCCCCAATTTGGGAGGAATCGACTATCATAATTTTCTCTTACAAGTAAAAATTTCTTGTTTAAAAAAGTAATTCTTATGTTTGTGTTGAAATAAGTACTTTATTTATTTTTAACTTTGATCGAAAAAGTTAATTATTTTAAAATTCACTTGTTTACTTATAAGAGTGAGTGATTAAATTTACTTGTAAGTTACTTCCAAGTTAATTTACTTTTGTCTACAGACATATTTGAATAACTTTCTACTAATTTTTAACTTTTATAAATAATAAAGATTATTAGTAAATTTACCTTTTATTCTCAAAGATTTTTTTGGATGAATTAATTAGATTAATTTAATCCTGTTAAGAAAATAATATAAAAGTCAAATATCCAATTAAATAAAAGTCATCACTAGAATATTATTCTTGTGCACGATAGTGCTTACGACCCCTTAGGCTCACGACTAGTGTCTTTATTCGTGACTCTTCCTAGTATGTCCATATGTAAGGATTACTTGATGTGTCATTATAGCTAGTGTGATCGTTCTACGTAGCGTGTTTGACATAATTTATGAAAGTTGATTCTCATATAAACTCAAAATAAGTTTGATTTGGGAAAATAAGCCCCTATACCCTTGTGCGTTTTTTCTTTCTTTGCAATTGGGATTGTGTCGTATTTGTGATTAAAAAAATAAAATAAAAAATGCCGAGTATATTTTGCAATAGAGAATTAAGGAAATGCCAGATCCATTTAACACGGGTGATCCACAACTTAACGTGGTAGTGTAGCTTTTTAACTAAACCTAGAAAAAACAAGATGATGATTATCGAACACATGATGCACGTAATTTGATGAGGGACGAATAGATCGTGACATGTGATTGTTGTTGGTGTTAAATGTTAGATATTTTTATTTTATTTTCTACCTGTTTTCTAAGATTACGATATGTCGTGTAACATATTGTACATATGATTTAGTTGATACACATGTAAGTAATTAGAATCATCGGCTTGTACATATGGACTTGGGAACGAAGACATTTAAATGAAACCATCACCCCTTAAGTTATTGTGGTAGTAAAAACTCATTTATTGGTTTATATTATTTTCATGTTGTATTGTGTTGCTTTCTATTTGTATATTCATATTTTCTATTTTTTCACCATTTGTAAGAATAAGACATCATGCTACATCTTTTACTCAAGCAAGTAACATTACCGTCTTTGTGAGTAACACACAATGTTACCAGTGAAATACATACATGCAAGTAACAGACCATGTTACCTTCTCATTTTTGCAATTGACCATGATACATTCACACATACAACATCATCATACCATGTTATCTTTCCTAAAAGCAACATGTCAGCAATGCCATTTGATGAGTAACTAAGAACAAAAGAGAGGGATATGAAAAGAATGAAGTAATGAATATTTTAGCATCGATTAATACACACAAGGATACAACATTCGAAATATTGTACACACCATGATTTGAGCTTTTAAAAATACAGTAACACACCTTGCTCCATTTATGAAATTAAACTGTACAATTCTCTATTATTAGAACACTCCAAACAATGAAGTAACATACTATGTTACTGGTTATTAGGGGATGAAAATTATATGTCTACACACAACATGTTGAGAACATCATTGAAGGCACCCAAACATTCAGTAACAAACATGTTACCCATTATGGACAACATGGTTAACTTCCAAAATACGACTTGTTACTTGAAAGTAATATAGTATGTTACTATGCAATTTTGAATAATGATAAAAACAAGCGTGATTTTAATACAAGCGTGATGCCATTTTATTTAAGTATCGAATCTCGTCACAACACACAAAACAACACAAGATTTTTGTCTCAACCATGCCATGTTGCAAAATCAAGTGAACTCACAAAAACATAAATCAATTCATAAACCGCGAAAAGACCTATAAAACAAGCAACAGGGTATGTTTATGAAACACGTGACAAAACCAATTTTTGGTCATAAGTGAAGTGGCTTAAACTAAAGTGATAATTGTAGCAACGGTACCAAACCTTTCATTTAGTAGCAGACTTTGTCCAAATTTTTCATTTGTGCCACCAACGGTACCAAACATTTCAAAATGTCCGCGGCTGAAGTCCAAATGAATAGTTTTTGTTAATTTGACCGTTAGTCGACCAAATAATTGACTTTAACAATAATGTTGACTGATTTTAAAAGGTTAAAATGATAATTTTATATTTTTAATAATTAAACAACCAAAATCAAATAATTAAAATTAAAAATCCATTCCACCTTCTTCCAACCCAACCCAACCCAAATCTGGCAAATCAACATCTTCGAATCCTCGAATCCATGGCCTCGAAACCTGTTGCCCAACTATATAGATCTACAAAGACCGGATCAGAGATTTGGACTTAACAATCGATCAGAAATGGAGCTCCTCAATAAAAATATGAATTTCCTGGTGAAATGGTCTGCCGAAAAGACTATCTTGACCAAAGAGGAGAAGAAGATATAAGATATTGAAAAGGGCTTAGGGATTTTCTTTATGACGTCTAAGCAAGTTTCTGGTAATGTCCATTTCTTACTGCTAATTTGCGGGGGCGCTTGTGGCGGTCGCTGCAGCCTGTGTGTAGGTGGATTGCGATCATTGGCACGGTGGAAGTGGGTGGATTTTGGTTCGTTTGGTTGGGGTTGGGTGAGGGAAGGTGGGGGTAAGTGTGGGGGGTGGGAAGAAGATGAACTTTTCGGAAGAAGTTTTGGGTTTCTGATTCCTTGGTCAATCAAGATGAGTTTTGGATTAAATGCACATACATAGTTCCTTAGAGCCACTGCCATTGCAGCAAAGCACACATTCGATTTTGGGGACTCCATTTCCGACCTCATTGAAGCATTCTCGAAGTTCCAAACTCAAATTTGTAGATTTGGGTTGAGGTGAGGGGAGGGGAGGGGAGGGGAGGGGGGTGGAGAAGAAGAAGAAAGTGGAATGAATTTTTAATTTTAATTATTTGATGTTGGTTATTTTATTATTAAAAAATGTAAAATTACAATTTTAACATTTTAAAATCAGTCAACGTTATTGTGAAAGTCAATTATTTGGTCAACTAACGATCAAGTTAACAGAAACCATCAATTTGGACTTTAGCTGCGAATATTTTGAAAGGTTTGGTATCGTTGGTGGCAAAAATGAAAGATTTGGTATTGTGGTTAGCACAAATGAAAAATTTGGGCAAAGTCTGGTATTAAATGAAAGGTTTGGTATCGTTGCTGCAATTATCCCTAAACTAAAAGTGATGTTCCACATACACAGCGTAATACATTATGGAATTATAACCATATAAAATTCATAAACCGTAATCAAAGATAGACAAATGATGAAAAATGTCGAAGAGCAAGTAACACATCATTCGCTACTTTTAAAATTTTTTGTCCTCAAAAAGAAGAAATTTGTGTGGGGGTAAGTGTGGGGGTGGGAAGAAGATAAACTGTTCGGAAGAAGTTTTGGGTTTCTGATTCCTTGGTCAATCCAGATGAGTTTTGGATTAAATGCACATACATAGTTCCCTAGAGCTACTGCCATTGCAGCAAAGCACACATTCGATTTTGGGGACTCCATTTCCGACCTCATTGAAGCGTTCTGGAAGTTCCAAACCCAAATTTGTAGATTTGGGTTGAGGGTGAGGGTGGGTGGAGAAGAAGAAGAAAGTGGTAATGAATTTTTAATTTTAATTATTTGATGTTGGTTATTTTATTATTTAAAAATGTAAAATTACAATTTTAACATTTTAAAATCAGTCAACGTTATTGTGAAAGTCAATTATTTGGTCAACTAACGATCAAGTTAACAGAAACCATCAATTTGGACTTTAGCTGCGGACATTTTGAAAGGTTTGGTATCGTTGGTGGCAAAAATGAAAGATTTGGTATTGTGGTTGGCACAAATGAAAAATTTGAGCAAAATCTGGTACTAAATGAAAGGTTTGGTATCGTTGCTGCAATTATCCCTAAACTAAAAGTGATGTTCCACATACACAGCGTAATACATTATGGAATTATAACCATAAAATTCATAAAACGTAATCAAAGATAGACAAATGATGAAAAATGTCGAAGAGCAAGTAACACATCATTCGCTACTTTTAAAATTGTTTGTCCTCAAAAAGAAGAAATTTGTAAAAATTCATAAACCGTAATCAAAGATAGACATATGATGAAAAATGTCGAAGAGCAAGTAACACATCATTCGCTACTTTTAAATTTTTTTGTCCTCATAAAGAAGAAATTTGACCCTACATATTACTAATCAAAAAATAAATACATTATCTATCAATGAAAAAAATATGAACATAACATGGTTTAACAAACATGCATTAAGACTCCATAAAACAAGTTTAGCACCAACATAGTTGAACCTTGAAAATAAGCAATAATAAATCTTGTTACCTTTAAATGTATATAACAAGTTTTGACTACTACGTGATTTTAAAATACAAAACATGTAGTAACATAACATGTTACCTTTAAATTTATATAACCAAACATAACTAAACATTAGTTTACAATGTTTTAATTCGTTGCAATCAAGTTATCGTACTTCCAAATGGTTCTGGTTTAGATTGGTTCGATTTCACAATCAAAATTTTCGAATTATTAATGCAAATATAGGACACGGTTCTATGATAAGAAATTAATACTCATATCTAAAATATATATAAAAAAAAAAAACCCCTCATTCATTACAAAAAACAAGTTCCATCTTAATACAAAATATTTTCTAATAAAAATCATTCACCAAATTAGCGAGACATAATTAATTAAAAAATACCAATTGGGTTAGAATCGATTTTTGGTTCTAGGTATGAGAACCAAAACCTAATCAAAACATTTACGTTCTTAATTTTAGAAATCAATAATTTAAAATGGATTTTACTTTTTTTACATTCATGGTTCACATCTCGAATGATATACCCCTCACAAGAGGACGACCCACGCAAAATAAAAAAAAATCTCGAAATCCTCCTTTTGTGAGAGGGCTGTCATTCCTCAAATGTACACTTAGCAAAATCCTTTTAAAATTTAGAATTGAATCGGGAATTGGTTTTGACGCTCTAAGATTTTAAATTTTAAATTCATGTTTCTCTTTGCTCGATAGAATAAATTTACAATACAATACAATCTCCATCCCTTTCTCATAATAAAAAGTAAAAACTTTAGTCTTTAATTCTTTATCACAAACCCTAAAAAGAATAACAAATTAATATGTCTCTCTTTTAACTAAAAAATTTGAAGAGAATTTCAAATATTTCAAATCAATTAATTTGGTAGTATTCTCAAACCAACAGGTTCTTCAACTATAGTCTCCAACAATGGCTTCTTTGATCTACACATGGACAGCCGGTGCTGAAACTCCTGCGTTGAAAATTCTTCAATATCATCCAGATTCAGTTTTGGCACCGGTTTATCACTACATTCCGGCAAGATTCTCACACTTCCGATCGACGATGGCCGTTTCGCAGCTGAATTTGCTGTTAAAAACAGTGCTCCCATATCTGAAGCTGTCACCGGAGTATTCAATCTCTTCATCGGAAAAAAGACATATACATTTGCCATTTCGAGGTCTTCATCTGCATTTAGTGCAGAAAATCTTCTCCCAATCTGAAGGGATTTCGTGTTTACGAGGAAAGAATTTGGTGTTTCCAGCATTAGTTCTGCAGCTTTTGTAGGCTCGCAGAATTGCCGGATTTCACCTGCTGGAAAAATAACCTTTGCTGCCCTGCCAGAATGCTTGCCCGCCGGCGATGACAACGTGCAAGAAATGTAATTTCCCATCGAATTGAGCAAATTTCTTCCAAAGTAAGCAGATAATTTAAGCAAGAAATGTTCTGATATATACGAATCTTGAGTAGTAGAAAGGACTTGCTTGAGAATGGATGGAGAGAAAATAAGTAATTATTGAATATTGAGTAGTAGAGAGGAATTTCTTGAAATTCGATGAGAAATGTGGGAGTTTGTGAAGGTATATAAAGGCAATTCAAGAAGTAGAGTGAGAAAGTTAAGAGAGAGAAAATTCAATGTTCAATAATTTTAAGACAGTTGTACGATAATAGGTTGATAAATTATAATAGTTGAGTCCGCGTCCCTTAAAACATACGAAAATATCGTTAAAGAAATGGGATGGAAAGAGAATAAATACAGTTGTTCACTTGATATGCACTTTTGACTTATTTTGGGAAAGCTTATTACTTTTTTTAAAAATAATTTTCTTATAAATGGCGTGTGGATCCCACTACTTGGCTGGAAAATGAACCTCAACAAGATTTAAACTCACGTTTTTATCTCATTTATTGACTAGCAAATAAAGGAAAGTTTAGATTTTGTAAAGGGTGTTATTGATTTGGGGAAAGTGGTTTGGGATTACATGTTAAGAAGATATCTTTGTTGATTTACTTACTATTTAAAATTGTATAATTTATATGGATAAAATTTTTGAGAAGAAATTTTGTGAAACTGAACCAAATGGTTAAAATTCATATACCACATTTATCATAAAATTATTTATGATTGATTTCTTACCGTTTCATCATTGTCTATTAAAATACTTTAGCAAATAAAAAATGGGTTAAAAATCTTATTAGTCATCAAATTTTTATAACATGTTACGCATCACCTCATAAAACTATAAATATTCTACGTAGCAAGCAAGCATGTGGCCCCGCACTGCGTCAAAGTATCACGGACTATTCTGATTGAATCCCTTTGGTGGCTGAACTAATATGTTTTCCGACCCCATGGGGAGGAACTGAACTATGGGGGAAGGGGAGGCCGCAAAAGGAGTTCAGCACAAGATCTTTCAAGCAATCTTCGATATGTGATTGATGTGATAAATCACTGTCGTCATTGCCATTTCCAACACATCATGTCAAAGTCTAAAGCCTCAAGCTAGGCATTATGGATGGGAAAATGGTATTATCATTTAATACTTATGAATGATTGATATCTCCGACAAGAGGCGTCGGCCGTACGGATGAGACCACGTGCCTTTTCTCTCAAGCTACAACTTTGTCATATCACCCTTTTGTCTATCATTTCCCAAGGCCGACCTTCTTTTTACATTAGAGGCTCATGTCTAAAGGCCTGTTTGTTTCTGATTCTCAAATCAATTCTCATTTTCAACCACACATTCTTCAATAAAATAATATTTTCCATCACATCAATACTTTTTTTTTCTTTTTCAACCACACATTTCCCATCATATCACTATTCAAAATCAATTCTTCTCCCAAAAATCCCTACCAAACAGGCTCTAAGATTATTCCATACATATATATTTACTTCCCTAACTAACTTAATCATCGGAGTGCACGCGGTCAACTGCACTCCCACCGGAGGCAGCCACGTGTGGCTAACGATTTGTCCAAGTATACAACAATTAAGCTTACGCAAACGTGAGAGACTTTGAGATCTATTGGCCACATAAGAGGTGTAAAATTCGAGGTCAAGACATGTCATTTTAGTTGCTAATTTTTATCATTTTAGTAAATTTAACGATGTTGTTGAGACATTTGGTATGTGGTTGATGACCTTGGTGAAATATCATTAACTACAAATATAAAATGCACAATGAGTAATCTAAAATTAAAATTATGGGTGAAAATAACATTTTTTTAGTTTATTAACACAATTTCACAAAGACCGTCTCTGTCAAATAAACTTAGACATTAGACGCATCACCAAATATGTTAAATCGAGCGATTCATATGTAGACAACGACACAATTGAAACAACTATGTAAATTTGCTGATCATCTATGCTAGAAAAAAAGTCCGGAAGCTTAAATTTCACATTTTGAA